ACACTTGCTGTCCAAATAGAACTCATTGGGAGGCCTTAGATAGAGTATTTAGATACTTGAAAGGAACTATTTCATTGGGTTTGCATTATGGTAAATATCCTCCTGTTCTTGAAGGATATAGTGATGCAAGCTGGATAGCTAAGAACTCCGGGAGTTATGGGTGTACCGGCTATGTTTTTACGTTTGGTGGTGGGGCTGTTGCTTGGAAGTCCACTAAACAAACTGTACTTTCTCGGTCTACTTTTGAGGCCGAATTATGTGCGTTGGATACTACAGGGATTATGGCTGAATGGTTTAAGGGACTTATGTCCGAGTTACCTATATTCAGCAAGCCAATTCCACCTATTTGTTTGCATTGTGATAGTATGAGTATAATTGCAAAAATTAGGAGTACCAAGTATAATCAAAAGACTAGGAGACACATTCAAGTTAGATTAAAAACTATAAGGAAATTTGTGTCTCAAGGGGTATTTGTTGTTGATTTTGTTGGATCCAAAGATAATACAGCGGACCCTTTAACAAAAGGACTTGATTTAAATCAAGTGATAAAATCAAGGTTAGGAATGGGGCTGAAACCCAATAATTATTCATCTACGGTAGCAACCCAACCTAACTGAGTGGAGATCCCATAAAGTAGGTTCAATGTGGTATAAACAAACCGTAGAGTGAATTGTGCATCTCATGAAAATAAATTTTTTAATGAGTTCTATTCCTTGAAAGCCTTCAAGATGTTGAAATTGCTAAGTTAGTAAGAGTTTAAGACTCTGAATGGGATCGAGCTTTAATAGCAGAGTGTTAGCAATGCACTCTTGGAGATGCCCAACTATGAGAATGTTATTGTGTGGCCGCAATAAGAGAATGTGGGTTTATTCTCGATGACATTCTTGAGACAGGATCGGACGCACGGCCGTAATGCGTCACCCCTATAGATCGTTGCCATTGCCGTTAGTGTGTTGCTTTTATCCCACGCCAACACAACCAAGGTTCGAGTTCAAGAACTCTGTTCACTCAGTTCCTGTGGGGGTAAGGGGTAAGAGCTTAGAATTTGGTTCAAACCGGAAGGTACCATATTCGAAAGCACACTTTGTCTTAGAGTTGAGTCTACAACTATGGATTTGTGGGGGATTGTTGGAAATATGATAATAATAATAATAATAAAAATATTAATTGTTAGTGGTCTCATTTTTGGGCCCTGAGATATATGTGTAACATATTCTTATGTAATGGGAGTGACTTATTATCAAAGTACAACTTTCATACTTGGATTTATTTCATTTATTGATTGGAATCCATAGTGGTAAAAGTTGTAAAGTGAAATATTGAAATAGTAAATTGTTGTCTTATGTAATAGATAGATGGTCTATTAATAAAATATTATGTGATAAGGAAAATCATTCAAGTATCACGTAAGGTAGCTTGAAATATTATTCCGTACGCTCAGGCCCACTCGGGATGATCTAAAAGTGTATGAGAAAATGTCTCAAGTTAAAGACCATTTAATTTATGGACAACAATTTTGAAATGTTTTATTATCTTAATAGATAATGAAACGGTGGCTATTAAACTAATTTGGAACGTTTCAAATACTTGAAATTGAATGGTCTAAGTGGATAGCTAATAAGCCTGGTTAATGATTATTCAAGGATCATTAAAATGATATTAAGGAATAACCGTTACTTACTTCCATTCAAATGAATATGTTGTGAATTTGATTTCCATGCACATAACTGATGTGCTGCTCAATCTCCCTAGAGTATATATCCGTACAAAGCATAAGGAAAGATAGAACACATGTACTACTTGATGATTTTTCCTCCTAACGCACAAACAAATTTGTAAAAGAAGAGGAACACTAACTCCTTTCTTTTCTCTTCTCATTTGTCTCTTCGTGTGGTTACTGTTCGAGTTTCTCTTCGAGTGTCAAAAACTCAAAAACCAAAGTCTATTCGGATACTTTTGCTCTTCATTTTGTCAAGCTCATCTCTTTCTAAGGCATTTCGGGCAACGGTCAAGGGTTTCAGTCAAGGTAGCTACAAGACTGAAACGGAGTAGGATTATCCTGGGAGCGAGCTAGCCAGACCCGTCCGAATAGCTATCGGGATACGGGGGCTATCTTTCTTCAAGGCCAGTTCGTTTTAACGGGCGATCCTGCGATAAGTTTTCTTATCTTTTCTATTTATTCATTTTTATTTATTCTAACTATTACTATTATTGTTGTTGTTTTTTTCGTTCTTGCATTTGGTGGTTTGTCTGGTGATTTGTTTAAACTCGGGATTTTTATCTGGTTAAACTCGCATTTTTAATATCAATTTCTCTAACAACACTGAACAAGGTAACCCTATGGGAGAATCCCTATCCGAAGGTCGCTGTCCAGAGACCAACATCGTGGTGCTCAACTCGAGGGGCTTACTCTGGTCTTTGAGTTAAGATGGGTACCTGGGGTGCATCACTTTTGTTTGACGCTGGCGATTTGTTGTCGGGGTCCAATAGGCCTTGGGTTCACTGATGTGTTTGGCATTGGTGTGTGTCTTCATAAATTTTTCGTTGTGTACCATATGGTGGTGTCGTGGTGTATCGTGGTACACCACGTGTGATAAACCGCAACGCACCAGAAGAGCAAACATTTTGAGATAGGTGGCATGAGGTGAGTGATCGAATCAGGGCGGTCACATCGATTGAACCGAATGGCAGCCGTCATGATGACACGTGTAACGACCATTGAGGGGGTCATCATTGCTCCGCCTATAAATACTTGGCCTTAGGATTTTTTTTTTTCCTTATGTGCTATCTTGAGAACGGACGGAGTACTGCCAAATTCTAGAAAGATAAACTCCCTTTGAGGTTCTTCATAATCTTGAAACCTTCAAGGTTAGTTCTTCATCCGTTCTTCGCCAAATTTTTCATACTTAGCTTTCATTGACTTAATCTAATGTTAGCAAGTAGTCACCTTTTGATCTATTAGCCTAAGTACAAATCCGTTAGTAATGTCGTCCTCGAACTCCCAAGACATATCTGGGTCGCCCCCAACTTCCACTCGGAGGCTGAGCAATACTTATCCAGTCTAGACAGCTTTGACATATTTGTTCGGAGTGGGGGACAGATAGGAATTCGGCTCAGGAGTGGCCTGGCGGTTCAACTCTTGCGTCCCCCTCCTGAACCGCCGCCTGGGAGTGAACGTGTGTTTCGGATTTGGAAGAAAACATTTCACAGATGCTACAACGAGACTGTGTGGAGCTCATGTAGGAAGTTATCTCTTTGCTTGACTTATTTTAGTTTTGTGTTTTATTTTGTTGTTTGAATTATTTTTAAAGCCTATGCTGCAAGGTGTGCCAAGAAGATTGGAAATTTAGCTTATTCTTATTGTTAAAGTTTGTTTCATGATTAGCGATTCATGTTACTCTTTCAGGCTTGATCATTTCTATGTCTAATCATAGGGTTTGCCGTCGTAGTTGGTGTCAAGTATTATTTTTCTTTGATTGATGTAAGTATGTTACGATCATGAAACTAATTATATCAATATAGGCTATTTTCTTTCAAAAAAAGGTTTTACACTTCTTTGAAATTGTTTCCAATATTTGAAATACACAAAAAAGATGGATCAAATCGAGATTGGATCGACCAATCTCAATCCCAAAAAATGCACCCCGGGGCCGATCTAAGTGAACCACCTCCCTAGGCCAATCTCCTAATTGAACCATTAATAACTCTAGGACCGGGCCTGACTCGCAACCGTATATGAAGACTTTGTCCCAATCCCAATCTCACATTTTCTTTCCGAGTCATCATCGAGAGTAAGTCCACCCATATTCCTCATATAATGTTATATTTCTAAGAGTGTTTCTATTTAAATTAATTTCAATCCCAAACCAGATCAAGTCTGATCTAGGGCTGGACTCGGGCCGGTTCGGGCCCGGTTCAGGCCTGGGCCCGGCCGGGCCTCGGGCCAGGGAAGGGGAGGCCCGAGCCCGAACCGCCGGTGGCCGGTTCCGGTTCCGGGGCCAAACCGGGCCGGGCCGAACCGGCCCAATTTTTTTTTTTTGTTCTCCTATTTAATCCCCTACCCCTCCCCCTCAACCCCAAACCATCCCAAACCACCTCAAATGGCCCAAAATACCTAATCCAACCTAAAACTTAAAAAAAAATTCAAAAAAAAAATTAAAATCCGGACCGGGCCCGAACCGGCCGGGCCGGTTCACCAAAACCTGGGCCCGAGCCCGAACCGCCCAGCAGCCGAGCCGGGCCGAACCGAACCGGTGGACCCACCGGGCCCCGGGCCGGGCCGGGCCGGTTCCGGGCCCCGGGCCGGGCCGCCCGGCCCGAGTCCAGCACTCAGACTCTGATTAGACCAGATTTCAACAATTGAAAATTACATATATAGCATACATTATAGGGAAAATGGAAACTAATAATCCAACCTTTTAGCGGTCTTCTTTCAATAATCCCACTTTTTGATTATTCATGAATAATCCAACCTTTGCACCTCATCTTCATTTACTGGTCCCTGACCGGTTGATGACCTGCTATTCCAAGCGATTTTCTTATCTTTGCAAAATATTATCTTTGTGAAAGATGAGATTTATGGTATAATATTTTGTAGAGATAAGAAAATAACTTGGAATAGCAGGTCATCAACCGGTCAGGGACCAGTGAATGAAGATGAGGTGCAAAGGTTGGATTATTCATGAATAATCAAAAAGTGGGATTATTGAAAGAAGACCGCTAAAAGGTTGGATTATTAGTTTCCATTTTCCCTACATTATACATATATCAAACCACGCAATTCACACTATACTAGACGAGATCAGTTCAACCCAAACCAGATAGAAAAATTTCAATCCAATAAAAAACATCTTAAGATTGAACTCAATTATTAATAATTTGTTGCACTTTTTTAAAGTTCTCGGATCATTACAACAAATATAGGTTAGGAAGTTTTGCAAAAAAAAAAATCTGAGATCTTGAAGACTTGAATCCAATACACCAAATTTAATCACTTTTCTGTTATAAGATGTTATTGTCATTGGAACAAAACTCTGTATATAATAATATCATTCTATATGAGGCTATGAGCATATTATGTAACAAATAAATAATTGTTCTAGGTATCAGCGCCAAGTTGTAAGATTACACTAGCTAGTATATACGTAGTATAAATATTATAATACATATACATATAATAAGATATTTGGTTGTGTGCACATGAACATGCATTGGAGGAGAATGAATGAAAAAAGTTGGAACGATCATTACATCTACCAATCAAACATTTTAATATGAGTGTTTGTCAAGATCAAAAGCGAGTTTGTAGAATTCCGCGTTTCTCTTGTCTGACTTGGGAGACTTGAAATTCGCCCACCACTCCACCCCACTGTCCTTTGCTTCAGACTTGGTACGTGTTGTGTTGTCTAAGAAATATGCCGCAACCCCGGCAACAAAAGCTTTCGACGAGAACGGCACATTGACTATGTCATTAAACTGATATTGAACCACACACAAAAAAGAAACACCAAAAGGAAATATATAAAGTAACTTACACAAATACAGTAATAACAAAAGCAAAAGCACATATGGAAAAGTGATGAGATTAAGTGCTAAGTCATCCCATGCCACTCAACTATAAAAACAAAAGCATATAAGACATAATATCTTGGGTTGTTTTGAAATTCTAAGTTTTAATAAATAAGTAAAGATTAATAAGCATACCCATCTCCCACTCGTGTGGACAGGTCCGTAGCCATTGATGGCAGCATATTGGTTGAAGTACTGAGGGATGGACAAACCAAGAAAGATGGAAAAGCCAAGAATGAACTTTGTTCTGTAGGTATTCAGGTTGCAAAATTGAAGCAAGGTTAAACCTCCACCACCTGATCATAATAGATAGGAGAGATAGGTGGTGACTAAGAATGTCTCACTTAATAATTATACAAACCCACCCACATGTAAGATTATATTGGCCTTTTTCGACATCACCCATGTCTGAATAGTATAATACACTTACCAACATGAGCAAAAAGCAGGCAATACAAAGCGCCGACTATTGGTATTGGAATTGAAGCTAAGACTGCTCCAAATTTCCCTAATGTAATATGATTTGGTTAGAAAAGATTATCTCTTTGAAAACAATGAGAGATTCAACAAGAAGAATCTATAGGATATTTGGTATGCCTATCTCATTGTATATTACGTAGTAGTGGGTAGTACTATTATTATAATAGCTTACTTACCAAAAATAGAAAAGAAAATCATGAAGCCAGCAGAGACCTGAACTACTTTTCGACTGCCAATACGTGTAGCTGCTAGAAGGCCAGCACTTTCTCTGCGCATTCAAGTAACCAGATAGTATATTATTATAACATTTATAAGATCCTTACTTTTAACGTCGTGTGCAGGTGCTAGTTAGGCTAGCTTCACCAACTGTACTGACGGATTAGCATGTATTTGGCCAGAGCTCTTACAATAAAATGGAACTTACATTGATACAGAAGATCCAACTCCGGTACCAAATATCCCACATAAAAAAATGCCAATTCCCTGCATGGAAAGCCAAATTTCTTTATGATTTGTGAAATAAAACAAGAAAAACAGAAGCAAATATATCCTTTGTTTAATGAGACACATGAAAAAAAACTTAAATCTAAGACAAGATGAGATGGTCGCAGGGTGACCATTTTCATGTCAATGCAGCTCAAAAAGTACGGGCATTTGTTGTTATGATTCAAAGAGCATATACCGATATAAGCTTCTAAGTTTGTGTGGAGTTTTTTTTTTAAATCCCAGTGCACACCATCCGAGGATGGGGTAGGGACCGGGGAACACCCTACCTATTTATTAATAAGGAAAGATACATAGTAGGAGGACATAATGCCGAGCCTACCAAGAAAAATACTAGATTACATACAGATAACTTGTAGCATCACATTTGAGAATGCCTACAAAATGATTTAAGTGATTTTGTGATCTTTTTATCTGGATCTAAGTTTGTGTGGAGTTGAACTTTATTAAGAGCATATTCAAAGAACAATACAAAGAGCGTATCAAACTTTATTAAGAGTTGATATCACATTCTAAAAGGTCAAACTTATAAGACGATTAGCTGTGGAGTTATATCTGAGTTTGTATTTTTAGTAGGATCCATTGCTCGTTGGAGGTTAATGGGCTCTCATGTCATATTAAGCTATTAAGGTTACAAGTTTATTTAAACGGTCAACCTTACAGGAGTAGTCCACAGTCATTTAATAAGAGTTTGTATCTAACTGGTGTGGGATGACTTCACAAACTTTCTCTTTGGATTAACATGAGGTTGATCTAGAGGGGCCTAATCGAATAAATAAGATACACCTTTTTTTTTTTAATAAATAAGATACACCTATACTAGCAATGTATTCTTCTTAGTTCCTATAAGTGGATGTCTGACTTTAGAAGCAATGACTCGAATGAGACTTGAAGCTGTTTGCATTAATAATCTCTGCATTTTGGGTTGTGGTATTAAAAGAAGATAGGTTTGCAGTGCTTTAATGTTTTGGTCATATATGATTCCTCTACGTATAAATGTAATGATACGGACCTGAACTTATGGCGAGAGAATTAATAGAAATATTACTGACTATTTTAATAAGATGTAAAAAGGACGTGGGCTTGGCCAAGTAGTTAGTTAGATTGAGGGGAAGCCTCATTGGAAAAGAATAAATAGAGGCCCTCTCGAATTGGTCTCCCTCGTATTCCTCTTTGTTTTCTACAATATTTCTACTCCGAAATTTCTCTGTACGTATCATGTAACCAAATAAATCCTATGATTACCTGCCAACCTGCACCACGGCTTAGAACGTATGGTGGAACTGGAGTTGCACTTGCAAACCTTGCAACAATAATGAACCCACCTGTGGACTGCAAACACCACAGCAAAACAAGGAGTTAGTTCAAGACCAGCTGTTTACCAAGAATATAGAACAACTAAGCGCCTAAGCGACAAACATATGCTAGGTAGATAAGCAATATATAAATAGAACGCTCAGAATAAAAAAGGCACTTTCGACTACAAAAGGTTTCATTTTAACTAAAGAATACTTGGTAGCCAATATTGAAGGCAATGAGAATTGGGTTGGGAGGCAATGAGAATTGGACTGGGTGGTGATCCAAGGATATAAAGGGTGTTGGCATCGATAAAAGTTCATGTCATAACTCATAAGCATAAGCTGCACAGCGATGTGGTGAGTGATTTTAGTGATGTGACGCAGAAGAAGATTTAATATTTTAGTGAAGATAGTGTGTAGAATATAGAGAGCAATTTTATAGTGGGGCACTTTTTTCTCCTAAAGCTTTACATTATACTAGCTCGGAGTGTCTGATTGGTTTTATAAACGGTTCCCAAAACCTTTGTAAATTTTACACAGAAATTCTCCAGTACTGAAATCTCTAGACACATATAACTTCGCCTATGCTACTTCGAAAGGTCTCAACAAATGCACCACTCCTCTTACTTGCATTATAAATACAAAGAAAAACCCTCATGAATAGACGATCAAATGTGAAGAAAACTCATATAGGTGGAGAGCGGTTAAAGGATAGAAAACACTTGATATGAGAACAATTAACGCACATACATTCAAGACATCAAATTATCAAAGCAAATAATCTTATTGCCCCTTAAATAAGCATAAATAACACAAATGAATAATACAAAATGAAAGATATGATTGTTGCTCTTAATATAAAATAGCAATACAAGGAACTACATCAATTATATATCTGCCCGTCAAGCTTGACAAGAATGAGAAGAAAAAAAACTAAACCTCTACAAGAGCAACAAATGTGGCCATCAACATTGCAAAGGAATCACCCGCATCAAATGAAGGTGCTCCCCATTGAAAGGGGTATGGAATCTTAATCCTGCCGTAAATTAAAAAGGCAGATGAAAATTATAAAGGCTTCACACTATATGTGACTAAGTAAACTGTTAACTGGTTGAGTAATATCTAGTGCTTTACAGGATTGTTCTTTGCATAAGGAAAAATTATCACATGAAGTATATACCATGGGGCAGCATGAACGAGACCAGAGCGATTAGTTTGGCAGCTGTTTTGGGTTTTTAGTGACCTGTGACTATAGGCTCCACTAACCGTAAGTATGTAGGCATATAGCCATACAATAGTCACCGAAATTACAACAGCGAGACGAACACAACCATCTTTCCCTCCATTTAAGAGGCGACCCAAATACTGAAATACCAAAATTAACAATTTCATTATTAAAACAATGTATGTGATTGACCAGTCCAGGCGAGAGAATTTACTTTTTACTCATTACAGTACAAATATTTTACTAAATATGATTTGCAGCACTCTTACCAGGTAGATAAAGACTACGATGAGAAGCTGTGGTAATCCTATTTCAATACAACCTGCAACCTAAACAAAAGTTGTTAAACCATTAGTCCATAATATATGGACAAAGTGAAGATGCAAACGGTAGATTAGCATACAAAGACAAATGGCCAAAAGAAGACAATATGTGGAGTTAAGGTAACATTTATAATCTTAAAAAAACTATATATAAGCAACAGGCATCAATGTATACTGACCGCAGGGAAACCATGCTCGTATAGACCAAAACCAGCAAGGCAAACCAAAGGAACTGCTGAAAGCGGACTCAAATGACTAAAAGGCCATAGAAGAAGAAGAATCATTAACACACTGAGTTTATTATACAACGATGCAGTTATCCAAAAAATGCAACAAGACAGTATATAACATGTACAATAACAACCAATGTTTAAGAGAACCAGACAAAAATGTTTGAACATTATTAACTTCGGACTAGATCAACTAAATTGGGCGGCCCAAAACCTTGGGTGCAAAACAAACAAACAAACAAACAAACCATAATAGACCGGGCTCTAATGCCAAATAGAGAATTGGGTTCCATTCAAAAAGTTCTGATTTAAATTGAGGAATAATCCAAAGTCTGATATGTTGATTTTTATTCCATATTCAGTATTTTTCTTCAACACCACATGATCGAGCATTGTTAATCTGACCTATAATAAGTCAATAGAAAATGATGGATACTAAAACATTAGGTCGAAAGTTAAAAAAAATGGACTCGATCTTTGAGTATGATTTGGTCCAAATGTCTTATAACCCCATTAGGTGACTCGAATACACCCCTATATTCTATCGGTCATAAAACGATACCAATGTTTTGCAAAAATAGGTATCACAAAGAAACTACTAAACTAATACGTAGTATATGTGAATATAATTGGAAGTACAGCTCATAATATCATCATACAAAAAAAAGTTGAATAGAACATTCTTTCAAAGATTGAAAAACAAATTAGTTCATCACTGCATACATGCAATATCAGCACAAGTAGATAAAATTTTAACCAACCTTGTAATGCTGCGCCAGAGACTACTAAAACCGAGGACTATCTGAAGAGTTGAGGAAATCATATATGCACCTTGTGTGGCCCGCATTATCTTCTTGAATTTCTGATCACGGAAACAGATTGAGAAACAACATTTACTGAGCTTATTAAAGACAAATTATTGTGGAAACTGGATAAGTTTCCACCAAATGTGAACAACTGTACTACAAAATTAAACATGAAGCATTCTAGCTCATTGGAGGAGCATGAGATCCAACTAACTTAGGCTCTTATCACCGTGTGGATGACACAAATGTTTCTTAATGATGTAATGCTAAATCTATCACCAACCAAATATTACCCGATATATAGAACCGAACAAAGAGAATACAAAAGATGCAAGAACAGCAAAATTTACGTGGTTCAGCAACTGCCTCGCAAATATCAAATTTTCACAAGTAGGAGATACAAATGTTTTTTTAGCACCCAGTACACAGACTTCACCGACTAATGTTGAGATACAAATATTTTCAAACCACAGATTTGGAGTCAGGTGAAGTGTTTGTCAACGGCTGGGAGTAAAGAGGACTTTGAATACATTACCTAGTGTGGCAAAAACTAATATGTTGTCAGAAAGAGTATAAGGGAGCTCGGTAGCTGCAAATTCATCAGATTGGCCTTTTGTTGTACTGTGTGTACAGTATATGGAAGAATAGGAATTCCAGAATTTTTTATAGAAGCCATGCTCATGCACCGTCCATGATATATTTTTGCAGATTAAGATTTTGACTTAAAAAATTTTGTATACGTACTATCATTTTGATATGATTGATTTTTGAATTCCCTTCCCATTGTTTGTTAGGATTGGGAGTGCTTTTGAAGGGCTGGTGCAGATTGCTTTATTTAGTTGATTTTCTTCCTGTGGTAGACTTGTTATTTGATGCTATTGTGAGAGGTGGAATGAGGGGGATGCCCCTTTATTGCTAGCTGTGAGCCTGTGAGATATGGATTGAAGGGAATGCCCTTCTGCAATTGCTTTGTATTTGGTATTTAGTTTTAATATTTTCACAGGTTATCCAAAGAAAAAAGAGTCAGTGTTTAGGGCACAAACCGAAATGGGGTCAGGGTCATTCCAACGACCAGAAAAGATGATAGAAAGGGTTGGGACAACAAAGGTGTAGGACCCTCCCATAATAGCAGGCAGTCTGGTCCCAAACAAACTCTGCAACAACGTGTTTATCCCAGTCACAAACAGAGACGTCTGAATAACTCTGATTCTCTCCTCCTGCATCCAACAAACAAACCCAAGTTCCACTTCCATTATTTGCTGCAATTATGTTGCCTTTACCAAACCTACAGCAAAACCCTAATTTTTCGTTCTATACTTAGAATAACTGAACAGGCACATAAAAAATCTTCAATTTCTGCCTCACATTTCCACCTCCCATCTGGGGAACAAGAGCGGAGGGAATAATCACAGCGGTCCCAAGCATCACTAGATAGTGTTGGAATCCAAGAAGAATGGTCTCAGCTGCAATTACACAATAAAATCCACGCAAATTAATTATGATGGAGATATACAAACAGCAGCTATGTATCACAAATGACATTTGAATCAAGTTTATACACAGCTCCTATCCTACTTACACAAAGCCACTGGCTGATGCGGATTGCTTTCCGCTTCTCCTTTTTCATGGGTCTAAATTTTTTAGACGGATTTGTAATTGTTAGTAAATTCTTCATTCTTTTCGGTTCGAATCTTAAACAACGCTTCTAATGTTGGCTTTTCCATTCGAAACCAGAAGATTCATTGAGACTACCGAATAAAAGAATTACAGACTCCGTGGGGAATTTCCGTGAGAAATACTCATTAAAATGTGTATACTGGAGTCGTCCACACGAGTGGGCATATTCCGTTATTCCATTGGCTTAACCGAATAGAATCATCTGATCAAACCAAAAGAATTTAAACCGAACAAAATAAACTAAAAAAATTCAATAAAACATTCATATATATTATTAAAAATAACAAATCCAAATCAAACATATTCGAACTAAATTGAATCAAACCAAAGTACCAAACCGAAAAATAGTACTCCCTCCGGTTCTTTTTAAACTTCAGTGTTTGACTTCACAGTTATTAAGGAAATAAAGTTGACTTTACTGTAGAGTACACTATTGAGACACTGTTTGGCACTGTTGAGACACTGTTTGGCACTGTTGAGACACTGTTTGGCACTGTTTAACACTGTTTTGATGTAGATTTCTTTGCCAATTAAGGAAATAAGGAAGTGTGAAGTTTATTTTGGACCGTCCCAAAAAGGAAAGTGTGAAGTTTATTTAGAACCGGAGGGAGTATGATTTTTGTTTGATAATAATTTTTCTAACTTGTACCAAACTTAATTGAACCGTACTGAAAATTGATATGTCCACCCTTAACTTCAGATGTGTACAATTTACAATTTTAAGTATATACTCGCATATTTTAGTAAAAAAACTATACATTAAATTATTACTCCGTATTATTTTAAATGGGTCATAAAAGTTTTTTAGGAAGACTAAACAAAAAGAATTCGTAAATTTTATAGAACGGAGTAAGTGAGATATAAAATAAACATTTTAAATTTGAAACATAGCAATGTAAATAACTTAAGTCAATTATAATTATACGCAATGTACACCAATGAAGAAATCCTAATATTGAAGGAAATAGTCATTATCATCTTATTGAATCTTATTCTTTAGGCAAAACAATAATGTCCATATCCGAACAAATACTCCACTATTCTTCGGTCAACGTGTATTGTTCTTAGGATGTTTTCTTTTGGATTGAAATTTGCTGGTCTGGTCTGGTCTGGTAAATGACTGGTCTCTGTGTATTTTATAACTACGAAAGTCTGGTCTGGGACTGAAAACAGTCCAAAAGAAAACATCCTTAATCGTTTACCTTATATATCTAACTTTTATCAAATATAACTTTTTTATAAGGTTTTATAGAATTTTAATGTAGTTTCTGAATATGTGAATTTTATTTATTGAAAATAATTATATTAATGACAGAAATCAATTAACTTTATAGTCAGTTAAACATCGTAAATCACGTGATAACTTTTAAATGGTGCGGAGGGAGTAATTAATTAATGTATAAACCCAACAATGCGATATTTGGTATGTGCGGTGTTACATTACAATGTCACTTTTTAATATATTATCTTTAATTAAATTATTATTCACAATCAACAAAAGTTTATTTGAAGTAAAATGATTAATTATTTATATATTATATAAATATATATCTTGTAAAGTATTCAAACAATCACAACCTTCGCCCCGGACAACGCCCGGGTAAAACACTAGTTAATTAATGTTTTGGCCCGAATTGAACAACATCATGACCCAGAAGTTAACAATTACCTAAACCTCTGGTGGCCGGCCCTAGATGGGAGATTCGAGGTAAAGACCTAAAAACAGGCTTGTATTACATGGTGTAGTTTATGATGTTTTTAATTAGACAGGAAATTACTAATCTAATCTGATCGATTTGATGTGGTTTGTTGAAGTATGGGACTGAAACGAGTCTAAATAAAAACACCGTTAATTGAAAAACTCAGTCGGCCTCCTCCAATGTTCACATTACAAATGATTTGATTCTATATGCAACAACTTGTTAAAATTAAATTTTTACCGGAACTGCTAAATAATGATGTTTTTACTTGAATTGTTTTTAGTCTTAGAGCAGACCAAACTTAAACATACTAGACAGAACCAGATTTGGACAGTTATAAAATACACAAGGACCAGACCTATACAAGACTAGTTATGACCAGGCCTGACTTAAACAGATAATACCAGACCAAAAAATTCCAGTTCAATTAAAAACATCCTAAGAAAACTAGAAATAAACCAGCTTTCATATACTCTTTCTATCCGTCAAAAGTTTGAAAATTTAACCGAGATATGGTAAAATAAAAATTGTATGATTGAGATTTGTGTTTTTTGGAGTATCAAGATGTACCCATGTACCTCCTTCCTTCCCTTCATTCAGGTGCATTGATGAGTGATGACAAAACATATACATTCTTCTCTGAAAAATGTTTGATGTATACATTTTGGTGTACACCTTTCATGCACAGAGTCGTGCCTTATGTAAGGTCGGGGCGACTTAGGCCACAGGGCCCCAAAGATTTGTACAGATTAGAGGCCCAAAATTTATATATATTAGTATTATGCATATGTATTTTCTAGTTATTTTTTATTTTACCCCTTGGGCAGTACAAATAAAAACTAGTTCGACTTCTATTTCTATGCTTCTAGCTTAGGCTCCAAGTTCTATAGTTAATTATACAAGTCTATGTTTTTTATTTGCTTATTTAGTTATTTGTTTGTATTTTCCGAAATTTTCTAACTTTATATTGATTTGCTAAATTGATTTCTCATGTGTGAATGCCAAATGGGCTAATTTGTAAATACTATATTTCATGCTTTTATTATTTAGTGATATCAATATTGCAATTGTGGAATTCTCAATTAATTAATTAAATGCTTTCTATTTTATAGAGAAAATTACTAATACATATCGTTAAGGATTCCATTAAATTATGAATTTATTTAATTTTTAGTTTCATACCTCCCAAATCTTTGTTTCAATTTCAAAAGAGGAAAAGAAAATCACATATTGAATCATTAACTCAAAGTCAGGTCGGATACATTATTAAGTATGTATTACTTGATTTCAAATAAAAGAGTCACTTCGAAGAGTACATCTTCAACCATTTCTCAAAAGGGTTGAATGGATTAGCTATGTATCAATTGAGAAGGAATTCATTGATAACATAGATTATACAGACTTGATTAATACATTTACATCAACAAATGTTGGACGAGTAGAACTTATTTAGTTTTTAATATATCCATTGCCATTTTGGCAAAGAAACACTATGCATAGGGCTCATTTATAAAGCTCGACTCAGATCCAAGTTTAGAGAGAACATGCACTCTTTTCGTACAACTCTGTGTGCGTGAAACACCAGGTGGGGACGAACAGTGCACGCCAAAATGTGTACGCCAAAAATTGGAACGAAAGTCTTATTTGATTCGTGGAGCCTTGAAAAAGAAATACGTCAAGTTCCTTTGTTAAGTGAGAAATGAAAAATTTATGAAAAATTACCATCCCCGCCGCGGTGGAATAGTGTACCTTGGTGGACGTTGTTTTTTGACCGGAAGGCCAAGAGGTAAACACAACCGTGAAGGAAATAAGAGATAAAAACTCACGCCATGGAGGATGACTGGTGATGCAATAAGAAATCCCCTGAAGCTGATCCTTTGGTATTTGTACATTCTTGTCCTCTTCCTTCTTCGCTGGCCCTTTGTTCGCCGTCGTGTCCTTCCCATCTCCTTTGCTCGCCGCCGCCGCCGCCGTGTCCTTGGCTTCTCCTTTCTTCGGATCACTCATTTTTTATCTCTCAAACTAAACAGTCAGCGCTTAAAGCACGACCGATCGGCAAAACCAGACCACCGTACGTAAAGCTCTAGCTAGCTAGCTAGCTAGTGTTTCTGTCAGCTAGAGATCGATATGATGGAACTGATCAACCCATGCATACAAGAAAGAAAAATGCCATCACAAATCATTCGATTAATCAAGGAAAAAAGACGACTTAGCTAGCAAAGCTTCGATCAAGAAAAGTGGAAAAGATGGAAAGACTCGAACTTTTCAACACCCAGAAAGCAAAACTTCAAGAAAAGATACAATTCCGGCCATTTCGATCAAAAGCAAGAGAAAAACAGAGTAACCGGCCAGCGCTTCTAGTTATAGAGAAGCTAAGTATATATGTAATGTAGAATCGTCCATACATACCCAGGCCAGAAATGAATCAAGCTTTGATTCCAGTACCAATTAAGCTGTAATCAACTACAAGACAGACTCTATATGATCCTAGCTAGCTCCGTAGCAAAGCGCAGCTAAGCTATAGGAGCTGCATGATATGGTGGATGGGCAAAGAAAACAAAAGAATATAATGATAACTTTGGCCTTCCTAGCTTCCTTCTTGTAGTTGATTGTGATATAAGAAATACATACAGTAAGGATGTTTTTACTTGGATTGTAATTTGCTGGTCTGGTCTGGTCTGGTCTGATCTGGTCTGGTCTGGTCTGGTCTGGTCTGGTCTGAACTGGTCTGGTCTGGTCTGGTAAGGTCTGGTTTCTTTGTATTTTTATAACTATGTCTGGTCTGGTCTGAACTGGTCTGGTCTGGTCTGGTCTGGTCTGGGACAAATTACAGTCCAAGTAAAAACATCCTAAGAAACACTACTCACCCCGAAAGGGTTTCTGCATTAAAATGTCAGCAAAAAAGAGGGCCCCGTTTTGAAATTTAATAAAGAGTGATGGGGAAAAGGAGCCGGCGTTGAAAGAGAGGGCAAAAGGCAGAACCGTTTTTTGTGGGGAACTGTCCATTTTCTTCCACAAAAGCCATAAGTAAAGGATACCACAACTAAATATATAACATAAAAAGGTTAGTCAATTTGACAGAAGGATAGTCCAAAAGTTTATATGTCACTCCTAACCCGCCTTTTCCTTATTCAACATATGTAACCTCGCAATTTCGCCTTTAAAGATACTAGAAAAAAATCCACAAATATTACTCCTTGAAAAATGATGGACAAAAATGTGACTTGATAATTTTTAGTGACTATAATTGTGTTCAAACCTATTATGATGTAGTGATCATGATGTAAATTTTGAACACAATTATAGTAACTAAAAGTTACCAAGTCCCATTTGTCTATGACTTTTTTATTAGTAATTCTAATATTCTAGGAAAAAAACTCAAAATACTATACAAAAATATGATTTTGATAACTTTTAGAACCCGTTTGATAATACAAAAATCGGTTGAATCGGCTGATTCTGCTGAAATCTATGAAGTTTTGACCGATGTGGCTGGATATATTGCCTGATCTTGTTGATTAAAGAAAAAATTATATTTAAAACTTATTTTAATAATATAAAGAAAAATATATATGTAAAAAAGCTAAAATAGTCGTCTACGGTAACTTCAGCCAATACAACCTGAAAAGTAACTTCAACCTTATTTTTTCTTATCAAAAGTTATATGTTTGGTGAAAAAATGATTGATAAGCCTGATAAGTCGGAAAAAAAGGTTACCAAGCGGTCTCCAAATGTCTATTATTACGTTCAAATTTTACGTTGTAGTGATCGTAAATTTGTGCTCACACTAACTTAAGTCACATTATTGTTTATAAATTTTACCTTAGTTATATTTAGGAAAATATGATATATGTGCTCTATTTCTTCTTCTCAAAAGTCCCCATTTCAATTTCACATTCATTATTCACTGGCAAAATTACCTCTCTTTAAATTTTAAAGTTGCTGTGAGTAAGAGTCACTACGACAGTACGATGTACTCCCTTCATCCCATTAAATTCTTCCAAATTTGACTTGTCTCGCAAATTAAGGAAGTGAAAATAAAGTAGAAATGTCTTGTTGTAGTTTTTTTGGATGAAATGTAAGTATATATAAAAAAAAAACCATCCAAAGGAGTTTATTAGTACAACAAAAAGGGTGAGCAAAAATGCAAGATATCCAAAGATTGGATAACCCATCACCTCCCCAGAAGAACAATGCTTTCATGCATGCTACTCTATCTCAAAGCCAATCACACGACAAAAATGGTGATGGGCAGCAAGTTTATCAAAAGACCACTAAGTCGGGTGGGTAAATACTATATAGAATTTTGTACACAATATATTTAATTCTAACAAAAACATCTTCCTCCTTGGGAGATATGCCATAAAAAATGGCCGCATTACGAACCCTCCATATCCAATATATGGCATAGCAAATGCAATCCGTGAGGCCTTTGCCATTATTCCAGCTCCGCTTCTTTCTTTCTTTATCCATTTCACCGAGCTAGCCAAGGTCCCCATCTGTCACGGCATCTTCATCCAGGCTCTAACCATGCTCCAAACTTTTCCTGAAAAAGGGCATTCAAAGTATAGGTGTGGAACCGTTTCCGGACCACCCTTGCAAAGTATACATAGGTTGACCACATCCAACCTATGAAGGTTATCACATGTAGCCAATCTATTCCGGAATGCCAACCAAGTAGTAAAGGAAAACTTTGGAGGTATATAGTTCTTCCAAATAAAGGACATCCACCCACGGGTAGGAGCCTTATTCCTAAGCAGATCATAAATTTTGTTGGAAGAAAGTTTCCCCCCAACTTGGAACCCGTTTAGGCAGTGAATTGCGTGAGGGATATTGTCAAAGTGGGTCAAAATCTCATCTCTAATCAAGGCCAATTTTTTCATTAGTTGTGAGTCTCTATTGTGTGGGGAGAAGTCTCACACTTGTTGTAGTTGTGTAAGAAAAAGGTGAATGAATGTGAACCACGCAATTTTTTCAAAATTAGAAGTTGAGAGAATTTTGTGGGACGACTCAAAAAGGAAAGTTGAAAGAATTTAATGGGACAGAGGAGTAATATTTGGATACAATTATGGTCACTAAAATATTAATTAGAGTCACATTTTTTACTCGTTTTATTTTGTTTATATATTTAGAATTATTTCTTTTTCAAATATATCTGAGTTCTATTTTACGAGTCAATGGTACTTATAGTAGTGTAATATCTGAATTTATAAGTTTTAATTAATAATACTAAAGTAATTTGAAAACATTATCAAAGGAGAATTAGAGCCCGTTTGGTAGCATCAAAATCGGCTGTTTTGGCTGATTCTGCTGAAATTTATGAAATTCTGGTTGAAGTGGCTACATTGGCTGATTCTGCTGATTTAAGAAAAAAATATTTTTAAAATATATTTTGTTAATAAAATAAAGAAAAGAATATATGTAAAATAGCTAAAATGGTCGTCCACAGTAACTTTAGTCAATACAGTCAGAAAAGTGACTACAACCTTACTTTTTCTGCTTATTACACAATTCAGCGTGCGAGAGCAAAAGTTACGCGTTTGGTGAAAAAGTTGGCTGATAAGTCGAAAAACAGTGTTGTCAAACGGCCTCTTACTTTTATGAGCTGTACTACTCCGTATATCTTGAGCAAAAATGTTACGAGTATATTTCTAAAACACTACCCCGTAATAAATATCGTATACCATTTGAATTGAAATTGTTTTAGTAACTAAAAATATGTATTCATATTAAAATTTATTAGGGATACAATTCTTTTAAGTAGCAAACGTCATATCTGAATATATGCAATGGATCTCTTGTACAAGATTGTAGAGATCTTGTTGGATCAAACAACTATGCGACAAGCTAATAGTAGTGTTATGCTCATATTTTTGATAGAGCATCTACTAGCTATGCTTATTGCACAAATATTTAATCTATTTCTTATTATATTAAGAGCATTGTGATTGATGAAATGAATTAAGCTTATTATTTAAAAAGATATAGTGAAAGTTTAAACCTTTTTGAAACATTTAAATTAGACGTATTGACGAGTCCAACTTTTAGTGCATGTATACCTAGGGGCTAGGGTTGCAGTGGAGGAGCTGGGCGGGAGCATGGAGGGGCAAGCGCCCCCGCTTCCGGCCAAAAAAATAGTACTACTACATATACTATATTTAATGTTCTCCTTCTCTTTTCAAAAAATAAATACTCATTAAAGAAAATTTTAGATTAAGTATTAAAAAAACGGTCAGGCAAGATCTTTCAGGAAACGTGTCTCTCGGAATACAAGTACTTATTGGGTGTAGTGTACGTCACTCATCATTTGAATGCAAGTGTGGATTATTTTAAACTTTAAATGTCACACGGGTTGACTTTTCGTGATTATAGTGCAAAAGAGTGTTGGAATTAACGAATATGTTGTCGCATTTCTTGAAGCAAAATGATCAAAACTTTCTCGAGACTATGTTGGATTCCCTCCTTAATGGAAAAATTCATGAGAATTTTAGAATTTGCAAAGATGTCTAGGATTTTGTATATGTGTGTAGAGAAGTACGCATTGAATGTTCTAGAATAATATTGGTAAGTTTTCTATAAAAGTGTGGAACTCACTAAAACCGTGCGGAAGGGTGTGGAAGCTTCTAAAACATTTTTAAGAATTGTGGAGTTCTCTAGATTCTTCCAATAGATTAGAGAAGCGTGTGGATACTTCTTGGAAGAATGTAGATGTGTAATGGTGTATAAAAAAATCTAAAGAAGCTTTGATTAAATTAGTATAGATAGGGGTAAGACTGCTCATTTGTATTAGTCCTATGAGCTCGTTTTCGTATGCAAAATTTTGAACATATTAAGACTCGTATGATTGATTTACCCAGATTATAGATATGAGTCAAGTAGAATGTAATGACTAATTTGTGCTAATGTATTACATTTTTATTGTTTTTATTATATTTTGAGAAAATACACCATAAATTTTAGCTTCCGGTACGCCCCCCTTTTAAAAATCTATGGCTCCGCCACTGTAGGGTTGTAAACGAATCGAATCGAGTCGAATAATGGGATTTTGTATTTGTATTTGTTTAATTTTTTCGAATACGAATTCGAATTCAAATATGAAATGAATATTAATTTTGATTTGAATTTGTATTTGTTTAACAATACGAATAGTTTAGCGAATTATTATAAACGAATGTCGAATCAATTTGAACATAGGTTAAATATTAGTCAAATATCACTTTAAAATAACTTTTCTTATACTCCGTATTGTTTATGTTGTAAACGCATGCTACAACTTAATATGTGTTTTTAGAATTTAAATTTAATGGATCAATGCATTTTTAAATGGTGCACAATATATTAAAGCGAATTAATTTTATGATTAATAAATACGTAGTATATATCTATTTCAAACTTTTTGAAATAAACACTAACACACATATTAGAAATTATACTTATAATGTATGAAATAAGTTGATAATTGTATATATTAAAGTCAAACAACTCTAATTTTATTCTTCAAATCGAATACATAATTATTTGTATTGTATTTGAAAGATATTTGAACCAAAAAATTGATTTGTATTCATACTTATATTTATGGTTTATTACAAATGGACTTGAAATCTGTATGCAA